AACTTAAGCTCTAATCAAGAGGAAATGCTATGCGGAAGACTTAATACAAAACATCCTAGAGACACTTGAACCTGGAGTGCTCTGATACCAACTGTGATACCCCTCAGATCCGAGACGCGGGTTGATCAGGCCCAGGCCCGAGCCCGAGAGAATATAAAACAATTAATATTTTAAAATGAACACGGAATACAAAATGAATTAAGAAATAAAATTAAAGCAGAAAGGAACTAAAAATAGAATCCGCAAAATATTATAATTATTAAAATCCATCAAACCCAAACTCCAAAACTCCATCAGTTTACAACTCGGGAATCCATCTCTAGTGGACCCCTATTCAACATCCAACCGGAAACTAAAACAACTGCAATAAACATCCAGAAATAAACTATGGAGAGAATCCTACATCGTCGGAAGAGTGAATAGAGACCTCTGCTCAGCACAAACACGTCTAAGTCTGGAACTGTCGTGTACCTGAAAAATAGAAGTGAGTCAGGCCCACGCGCAAGTTCTATACTACTACAATCCAAACAGAGGCCCGATACGCATGTATATCCTAAACAATTCAACAATAGCTAATAGTCCGTAAATATATATATAGTCACACTAAAGGACTCTCACTGGACTATAGGCCGGTCTCAACCTGAATAGAGGTAACATGCTAAAACGCACATGAAGTGGGCATGTGTACCTAAACCTTAACAGGGTACACCTCTAACCATCGTATCCAGCTATGCATCCCAATGCATATACGCTCCCTAACCGTCGATCCTGAGACTCAAGCTCATATCGAGGTACCATAACAATATATTTAAAATCTATCCGGAATCCTAGTAGTGGCGCTCAACTAGTTGTTGCCATGACACTACAATCAATAGGACTTAACTTTTAGTTAATCCAATTCTTAATCTAGAGTAGGTAGGTTTTGGCATTTTGGAACCAAACCGTCCCTAGTTTACCACCATCCCATACCGGTGTATACCATCCCATCATCCAGCAGTTGATAATACCAATAATAAAGTAGACCTCAACTGAATCCATATCTCCATCACAGATACTAAAATCATAGTATAAGCATCTAGGAACACAGTCAACTATAAATATATATAATCATGTTCAGCTTTATCCATTACTGATACTAACAATGTTAATGTAAGCATCAATTCCCATAGTCACAGTATGTACATAAACCTACATAGTTTAGGTTGTTCTATAAAAACTGATACAGTGATAAGATTAATTCAAAATAGTATTCAATATACTCAGCAGTCGATGTTACAGACATTTAGAGTAAACATCAACGAAGTCCATACCTCTAACAGTTGATAGTATAGAAATTAAAGTAATTATCAACTAAGTTAATAACTCCAACAACTGATACTAATAGTAATCATGAAAACATCAAAACACGAATTACAGTAGGTATATATACGTGCTTAACTTATAATGTTCCCAAAATCCAGTAGTGCTAAGTTTGTTTAAAACCTAAATCACTTGACACCAACTCATCCAAAGCAAATATAATTTGAGTACATGATCATGATAAGCAGTGAAACATGTTTTAATTATATTATCCGTCTCAGAAAATTTCTAACAGAAACTTTAACTCTAGCCAGTGTATTAATTCATTTAAACCATCTACTATCTGAGCTACCCAAGTAAATAATTTTATTAACAGCTCTTAGGACCTTAATAATTATCTCTAAGCATCCCCCATACATCCCACAGACATCACCAAACCCAACTGAAACCATAGAAAACCAACCCCTGTAACCAAATTGGGCTGGAAACGAAAAAATGAAAAAATGCATAAAGGAGCCGCCTCCACTACCAAGTAGAGCTGGCTCTACTACAAAGTAGAGCCTGCTCCACTTTGTAATTGAGCTTGCTCTACTTGAAATAGAGCAGGCTCCTTCACCTGTGCGTCGTTTTTCCAATTCCGGCAGTGTCCGGCTGTGTTGATCCTCCAAACCAAATTTCTTGCTGATTAAAATTAAGTCCTTGAGTGTTCAAAAGTTAATTAACTTCCTTGATTAATAATCACATTCAGTGGGAACAAGAATTAAACAAAATAATTTAAAAACGGTTAACATGCACCTACAAGGAAACAAGCTGTTCAACTTCTTCTCCAACTCCGGCAACTTTGTTCCTCCAACCCAAGTTTCCTATGGATTAAAACTAAGTCCCAAAGTGCTTTAAAGTTATTTAAGTTCATTACTTGTTAATCAAATTTAATTAAAACAAGAACAAGCACAAACAGTTTCATCACGAACGGAAAATACCTACAAGAACCCATACTGTTTGAAACAAATAATTACAACCAAATTAATTTAGCTTTATTTCTTCCTGGAATTAAATTAGAGATGCAAAGAACACAGGCCAAAGAGATAGAGTTAGTAATAAAACTTGCCTGTGAGACTCGGTTCAGAAATCTCAACGTCTTTCTTCTAAGTTTTCCCGGCGCCCCTTAGGTTTTCCTCCTCTCTGTTTCTTCTGTTTCCACAACGTGGTTAGGGTTCTAAACCCTTGATAGCCTTATACAGATATATTTATAGGTTTATAAGTTTACACAAAACCCTAGTTTAATTTAAACCCTAAACTAAATCCTTAGTCGGCCCATATGAAACCTAATTAATGCTTAATTATGTCGGCTACATACGTGACTTCTAAAACCAAAACCCTTAATTAATCCTACTAACATAAAACTCTATTTATAGAAAATCCATTTATACTAAATTAAATCATTTAACACTTAAATCAATTTCAAGAAAAATGATTAATTCTATTTAAAGAAAACAATTACATCCAATAATTAAAACGCAATTAAATAAACAATTAAATAAAATAATCAATAAAATAAAATAAAATGCAATTAAACAAATAAATAAATACGAATTAAATACATGTCACATAGGTAAACAATTAAATAAAATAATTAAACCAAATAATCACAGAAAAATACAATAAAAAATAATAAATAAATGCCGAGACTATCCTTTTAAAATTAGGGGTATTACAGTTCCCCTTGAATCGAAGGCAAATTAACACAAAATGGCAAACCCTTCTAGGGTTATGTAGAGGAGGATGAGGGGAACAAAAAGTATTCTAAGCTTCATGGTCAAAGGTGAGTGGAAGGGCCTCAAAAATCAAGGTCAAAGCTTAAACATCAAGCTCTTCTAATGGTGGCTAGGGTGTTTGTTGGGGGGGGGGGGGGGGGGGGGGAATGAAACAATGAGATGAATTGTGAGTGGAGGAATTAGAAATCCTTCACTCACTTTGTGATCTTATACCATGGTCTATACACACAAGTCTTGGTCAATTGCATAAAAATCCCTCTTTAAAACCATAATCCCAAAGTTGCCCAAAAATAATTGCAAGACTTAATTTGGAGCATACACTTGTCACTAATCCAAGCATCCATTGTGGGCTTAATCCTAAACCTACACTTGTCAACCATCCAAGCCAACAAGTGCACCTATCCTAAGTCAACAAGTGGTTCAATCTCCATCCTCCACATGTCATCATCCAAGGCATCAAAGTGTCCCCACACAAATGCTAACAAGTAGACCAATGAGAATGTGACACTTGGCACACTTTTAGAAAATTGCAAAAAGGTCCTTTTTGAAAATATCTTCCAAATTAAATTACAAAATCATCCCTAAGACGAAAAATAATTATTTTACATAATTACACCAAAACCCCACAAGTTAAGACTATTACAAAAAAAGTTATGCATCCATACCCTTTACAAGAAAAGTAAACACTTAGCATGCTTTTCTAAGAAAATAGAAATACACATTTCAAAGAAATCATATATCATGAGTGCATGCAAAAATGGAAGCAAAACCGAACACCTAAAGCGAGGTTGTGTCAATAAAGTGACAAACAGGAAAAAGACAAAAAGTAAATAGTGTCAAAAAATGAAAAATGTGGAAATGACTCGGTCCTTAAAGGAAGTTGTCAATCCAAAGGAAAGAGACTCGGAAACCATTTCTGAGCACTCGAGATGACACTAAGCGATGAGAAACTGAACTTAGACAAGAAATTTCAACGAAAAAAATTTATCCGTGAAATTCTGTGGAAAAAGAAAAGGAAGGAAATTACCGAGTCATTACGGCATAGCTGCTACTCCAACATCTTTAGAAAGTTCCTTCGACATAGCACTTTTTGTCTATGATAATGGATAAGCACACGCTATAACTCCGTTATCAGTGCAATATAGAACTGATATGAATCTCTAAAGTGAACACTAATAGAATTAATGTCCACAAACGAACTTGCTCAATCCACCACTCTTAATCTATATGAAATTAAAATTATAATCAATGTTGATAATTTCTACCACCCATCCACTCCTGATTAGTCCTACTCCCATTTTGATATAGGAATAGCAAAAATCTCCAATGATATCCAGTTATCAATCTTTCACCTTTCTAACAGGTATTCCATTGAGAGACAGTTATGTACATGTCCCTAACCTAGCTCACCAAAACTAACATTTGATGTCTTAACGTAACCTATAACCACTTGAGTGCACTGAAAAAAAAATATAAGTTTTTACATCTAAGTCACTCCGACCTCCATAACATCTGTTATAGAATCGACTAAACCTCCTTCAGTACCTTAAACTCTATCTGAGTAAGGTAATACCTCCTCCAGGGTTTGCTCCGATATTTTAAGTTCACCTCCTTAATTACCTTGGTAATAGCAAGTATTATTCTTACAAATGCTAAAAACTTCAATTGATAACTCAACCACTAACCGAAAGATTTAAATATCATATCGGTTGTTGAGAGCATCCACTTCCATATTCGCTTCTACCAAATGGAACTTGATACAAAGCGTGAATCAACGCTTCTATCCATCTAAGCCTTCTAGTGATCCGTTCTCACTATAAGAAAAAAAGTTTTTTACCACGCCATTTCTACCACGGTTTTGAAATAAGCGTGGTGAAATATACACTTTCTATATAACCGTGGTAGAAAGTGTCTTCTACCACGGTTTCGAAAGTGTCTTCTACCACGGTTATTTCGAAACCGTGGTAGAAAGTGTATATTTCACCACGGTTATAAAAGCACTGTGGTAGAATGTGAAATTATTTCACCACGGTTTACCATTAACCGTGCTAGAAAGTGAGGTTTACTTTTGGCGGGCTAAAATCGCGCCCTTCTTAAAGAAAAAATAAAAAATAAAAAAAATTTATAAACAGAAATATATATAGCCTCGCACGTACATAGACCACACGATTAAAATTACGTTTAGGGCAATTCATTTCAGCCTCCTAATTAATCGCCTCATCTCTGCTATTTTCGTTCTCCTCATTTCAGCCTCCTAAATCACCTCCATCTCTCCTCTCGTTCTCTGCTCTGAAGTTGCCCTCTCTCTGTCTTTGCAACTGTAAACTACAAAATCTACAAGAATTAGAACCCATATCGACATGTCATATATTATTGTTCAAAATCAAAACCCACCTTCAGTTTCCAAATCCCGTTGTTCCAGTTCGATTGGGTTCGCCGTTCGCAAGTTTTAGCGTCTCTCCCGCTGTCTCTCAACTCTCAAGCCATCTCTTTGCAGCTGCGAACTTGTATGTATGGGTTTTGATTTATTATTTTTTTCTAAATCAATTAATCAAGGTCTGTAATTCTTGTTTTGCAAACTAAATCCTATTTGGTGAAACAGGATCTCCCTTTGCAGGATTTGAAAGACTAATTGGTAAATTTAGGTTGAATGTGAGTCTTGAACAATCTGAAGGCCTTTATACTGGTAAGTCATTCTTCAATTATTTAATATAAATATTTTTAGGGCAAATCATTTCAGCCTCCCTAATCGCCTCCATCTCTATTCTCGTTCTCGACTCTGATTTTGGGGAATGTGGTTTGTAATTTGGGGTTTTATTGGTTTGATTAGCCAATCTTTAAGGGTTTTACAGGCGTTTTTATAACTAAATATGCCTTTTTCACTTCTAAGTTAAATTACATATATCGAGGGAATACAACCTGAATTACATATATTGATTAAGCTATAAAAATATTAAGGAAAAAGATTTCAGCCTAAATCCCAAATTGGCAGCCTTCCAAATTCACACAAATTCTATTAATGGGATAGTTGTGTTAGTGAGAATCATAAGCTATAAGCTTACTAATGTAGCCAGTTTGGAGACAAAGTTTGTAACTACTTTCATTGCAACTGTTCTATGACCCTGAAAGTCATAAAATAGACCAGCTGAATGGACTTTCCATTACATATACATGCTATATTTTACTGACATGAAAATATTTTTAAGGAAATTCATGTTGATCCAGTCAATTAAACAATCACTTGATACATTTACATGCCCATAGAATCATGACACATGGTTTTACCCCAGATTATGCTAAGAAATCATACACATAAAATCTTAGTCTTAGTAGCATGGAAATGAAAACGAGTTTAGGGAATACGGTTGGTCCTCTATATGTAATTGGTGTAGTATTGAAAATGACTCTATTAATCACTTAAAATAGATATTTTACTAGCTCTACTTTAAATAAATGGATGAAGAAACTTGTTTTCTTTATCAAGTTCATCAAATTCTTAGGTGGATGATCAAACTTTCTAGATAAATAGATTAGGTAAAACACACAATTTGATTGGCCAATCTTTAAGGTTTTATTGTGTTGTGTAATCTTTAAGATTTTTCTTTATTTCAATTTTGATTAGTAAAATTGGCCTCATTGTCAATTCTGGATAGTTTATGATTATGCCACGACACTAGCCCTGTGTTGTTTCTAACAAGCACAAGTTTGCAATAACTTGGAATTTTCTTATATTAAACTTCTTTTCTTTTCTTTTCTTCGTCTTCTTTTTATCCATCTATATGTGTAGCCCGAGTGAACATGGAGAATATATGAATGAGAATGATAATCTTTTGGTGAATGAAGAAAATCTTAATGAACATGGAGATTTAATGAATGAAGATAGGAGTGAGAATCAAAATGAAGAAAATGTGAATGAACTTAAAGATTTCATAAATGAAGAATATATGAATGAGAATGATAATCTTCTTTTTACATTAATGATCCAGGAAATTGGAAAAATATTGATAAAGAAATGAGAGGTTTATTAATTATGCTAATGTCTTATTAATTATGGTAACGCTAATGTCAATACGGTGCTACTCAGGATAATCAATGGATAAAGGCTGGATGCACCTTAATGACAGGTTATTATAACTTTAAATAACCTTACTCATAGACATTGTTCTTATCATTTTTGTGATAATAAAAAATATTTTTATTAATTTTCGACTGTAGAGCTTCAGATGAGTATAAAGCTGGAGCACAACATTTTGTTAATTGGGCTAAACTTAATGCGGGGAATCGAGAAAGCATTTTATGCCCATGTATCCGTTGTAAAAATTCAATATATTAACGCTTCGATAAGGTGTCTGAGCACATTGTGATAAAAGGAATGAATTATGAGTACACTGTATGGGTCTTACATGGAGAGAATCGGAGTGCAACTTTAGAAAACGATGGTGATGATGGTGTGGAAATACCAGAGACGTATGAGATGTTTAGAGATGCATATAATTTTTATGGTAAAGACAATGCTCATACAGAGCCTACTAGTGGAAATAGAGAGGATGAGTTCAAACAGGCGTTGGAATACGCTGAAACTCCATTATATCCTGGTTACTCGACTTTTACAATTATGTCAGTAATAGTTACTTTATATAATCATAAAGCTGCTCATAACCTATCCGACATTGGATATGATGAGCTTCTTGACATTATTCGTGTCATGATTCCATCGGATAACAGTCTTCCTAAGGGAATTTATGAAACAAAGAAGCTATTGAAGAAATTTGATTTAGGGTATGAAAAAATACATGCGTGCGCCAATGATTGCTGCTTGTTTAGAAAAGAAAACAAGGATCTGAATGCATGCCCTAAATGTGGTATTTCACGGTGGAAAACAAATGCGCAGTCTAATGTGGTTAGAGAAGGGGTTCCGGCTAAAGTGTTATGGTACTTTCTAATAGTACCAAGATTTAGGCGGTTATTACGATCAAAAGAAAAGGCGGAGCAAATATTGTGGCATTCGACTCACAAAAGTGAAGATAAAAAGATGCGACATCCATTTGATTCACTTGTATGGGATATGATAAATAAAAAGTGGCCTTATTTTGCATCAGATCCTCGAAATTTGAGACTTGGGCTGGCAGCCGATAGGTTTAATCCATTCGGTGACCTTAGCAGTAAACATAGTTGTTGGCCAGTGAATTTAGTTGTATACAATTTTGACCCTTTACAATGCATGTCTAAAGAGAATATGATGTTGACATTGTTGATCTAAGGACCAAAGCAACCAGGGAATGACATTGATGTGTTTTTGGAGCCACTCATTAAAGATTTAAAGGAGTTGTGGGAAAAAGGTGTTGAGATCTATGACTCATTAACTAAATCCATGTTTAATTTGAAAGTGGTTTTGATGTGGACAATTAATGATTTACTAGCTTATTCAAATCTTGCTGGCCAGGCAACAAAGGGTAAGTGTGGTTGTCCAGTGTGTGCTAATGACACATCTTCTCAACAGTTGCCATGTAGTCAGAAGACTGTGTATAGGTACAAGGATTATAGGCGATTTCTTCCATACAATCATCCATTTAGAAAGAAGAGAGCATAGTTTGATGGAAAAGAAGAATTCAGGCTGCCACCTAAAATATTATCTAGTTCAGAAATTTTTGACCGTGTAAAGAATTTTAAAAATAATTGGGGAAAGAGTCCTAAATCCCAAGAAAAATCTTCCAATAAGCGGAAGAGGTCCCAAAGAAAACCTCCCCAAGAGAAGGAGAAATCCCAAGAAGGAAAAGACCCATTTTGGCCGTGGAAGAAAAAATCTATATTTTTTGAGTTGCCATACTGGGATGTACGAAATTTGAATTCATTCTTACCAGTAATTTCTTTGGCCATTAATATTTCTTTTAGGACTTCACACTTCTTGCTAATAATTATTTTTTGCTGTTAATATTAGGTATTACCTATCCGTCACAATTTGAATGTAATGCACATTGAAAAAAATGTTTGTGAGAGTATTCTCGGCACTTTATTAAATATAAAAGGAAAATCAAAGGATGGACTTAAGGCTCGTATGGATTTGGTAAAAATGGGCATCAGGAGCGATTTGCACCCAAAGGAGAAAGGGAATAAATATCACTTGCCACCAGCAATCCATACATTAACGAAGGAAGAGAAGGTCAAATTTTGTAAAAGGTTAAAACAGTTGAAATTACCTGATGGTTATAGTTCAAATATTGGGCAACGAGTAGCATTGGATGAATGTAAAATTACTGGCCTAAAATCTCATGATTGTCATGCTCTTATGCAACAATTACTGCCAATAGCTTTGCGTAGATCATTACCAAAAGGTCCAAAGAATGCCATATTTCGCTTATGCTTCTTTTTTAATGCAATATGCCAAAGGGTGATTGATAGGAAACAATTAGAAAAACTTGAAAATGAAATTGTGGAAACTTTATGCTTGTTTGAAAGGTTTTTTCCACCATCTTTCTTCGACATGATGGTACACGTTACCGTTCATCTTGCACGAGAAACTATTTTTTGTGGACTAGTACAATTTCATTGGATGTATCTATTTGAGAGGTAATGTTATTTATAAATTTTTTTAAATATGTGCTTGGAATTATTATTTAATGTATATATATATATATATATAAGTTTCTCTCGTTGTATTCAGGAATATGAAATTTTATAAATGATATGTTAGGAATCGAGCAAGACCAGAAGGGTGCATAGCAGAAAAGTATTTGGTTGAAGAGTGCATTCGATTTTGTAGTGAGCATATGAATAAACCAGCTTAAATAGGTGTTCGTCAATCTCGGAATGAAGATATTGAATGTGAGGGTATGGAAGGAGGACACCATATATCTAAAGGAATTTCAAAAACCTATCGTGCTGATCTATTAGCCATTGCTCACCGTTATGTATTATTCAACAATGATGAGGTCTTACCATACATAGAGTAAGATGTTACTAATATTTTATTTTATTTATAACAATTAATTAGAAACATTCATAACCATATTGTTTAAATGTTAGAAAGCATTTGGCGGAACTCAAGAATTCTGACAGTCGTCTAGCAAGGTATGAACACCTACTACAAAACAGGCATATGGAGACCTTCAGTTCTTGGTTAAAAGTTGTGATTCCTACAATGTGCAATGTTTCAAGTACGTTAAGGTGGCTTGCACGTGGGCCTAGGGAGGAAGTAATTTCTTATACTGGCTACATTGTGAATGGGCAACGATTTCACACCAAGGATGTCGAGAGAAGCACACAAAATAGTGGGGTTACAATTGAAGCTGAAACTATTTGTCGATCTAGTGCAAGAGACACAAATCAAGTCATTCAAAAAATATCTTACTATGGCGTTCTGAAAGAAATAATTTTGTTGGACTATCGCACTTTTAAAGTGCCGTTATTTCACTGTGATTGGGCAAATATTAGAAATGGCATCAAAGTTGAGGAAGGGCTTACATTGGTGAACCTTTAAGAAGGTCAAAGTTAATTTGCAAGAGATCCGTTTATCCTTGCATCATAGGCTAAGCAAGTGTTTTATTCTAAAGATACCGAAACTTCAAGTTGGTATGTTGTACTTAAAGCACCACCTAGGGGATCTTATGACTTGGAGGATTTTGAAGGCAATGTTGATGTGCCTTATCCTCCTCTAGATATATCAGGGCTTGAGTCAGTTGTTTGTGACGACGATTGTCCATATGTACGGGATGATTGTGAGGAAATAATAGTTTAGAATTTAGTTTTACTTTTTGGTTTTTATGTCCCTTATTTTGTTTGTAATATGGTTTATCGATCTATTAATGAAATATGATTTTGCTTGCCTGAGTTGAACTAGTGGCTTTTATTTCTCTTTTCTCTAGGGTTCTTTCCTGCTATCACTAATGTTTTCTTATTGTTTCATGAGATTGAACATTTTGTAGTTATTATTAATATTAAATTGGTACACAATTTATTCTATGTCTTGTAGAATGAAGTTTATATTATTTGCAACTGCTTTAAGATGATAAAAAATGTGATTTGCTGATTTTGGTCATTCCAGGTATTGCATTTTTTTAAGCTTGTAAACAGGTTCTTTCATTATGTCTGGACGTGCTGAGGTAAGCATCAATAGATTTTGAATTTTTTTCATTTAACTATCTCTACTTAGGGTGTGTTTTGGTTTTATATTTTCTTTAATTGATTTGCATGTACTTGAAATGAAGTCATCCAGAGGGGTTGAGAAAAGACAACAAAGGGAGTATCAATCAATTCAAGCTTCTTTAGAGCGTACACCCTCAGCCTTAGTCATTTCTGATGGGGGTTCAAACTTTGCTCATAGACCTACTTCTGATGATCAAGTCCCTAACCGCGACGACCAAGCAACAAGTGATAAAAAAAAAAGGTAGGGGGAAGTCAACTGTAGCGGGTCTTACAAAGTCATTACCGAAGAGGGCTCGTGTGGAGTTTAATTACAGGAGACAACAAACTGGGGAAATTGGTACTAAATACAAATCTGCCCTTCCAGTACTAGCACGGGAGATGGTGCCCGTAACTATTGAAACATGGAAGAAAGTGCCAAACAATATGTTTCAAGAGATATGGAAGGAGAATGTACAGGTATATTTCATTTTTTTTGTTCACTAATCTTTTTCATATTCATAATTTAGTTTAAAATATTCTTGCTTGACGCTTCCTTCAAATTTATGTATTATTAGAGTCTGGTTTGAGTGTTCAATTATGTGGTGAGATAAAGATTAATTAAACTATGGGCACACTTGTGATAATGCTGAGAAAGGCTGATTGATTTTTAATATTGTCATTTCATTACAGAAATAATTTGATATTGACGACAGCCATTCCCGTGCCGCATTTCAAATGATGGGAGCTGCCTGGCGCAAACACAAGTCAGATTATACAAAGAGGTTGCTAAAGGTGGGAAATAATCCACGACAAATACAACTCATAACGTGCCCACGATGGAGGAGTGGGAAAGATTTGCCCAACAGCGTTTATCAGAGCAGCATGCTGTGAGTATATAGAATTCTATGTCTTTTTTACCCCTCTTTTTTTTTTTTTTTTTTTTTTTTTTCAATGACTTATTTAAATTAAAAAATTTCAATTTTTATTTATAGAAGCTGAGGAAACAACAACAAGAGTTGCAGGCTAAAAATAAAACCTCGCACACAATGAGTCGATCAAGATATAGTGGGACTAAAGAGAAGTTGGTAATGTCGATACTTTTTAATGCTTTGTTTCATCATTGTTTGACTTGGTAAAATGCTCAAAACTATGCTAAAGAAAGATGGTAATTACATTTATGTTCTAATGAAGAAAAAGAAATCAAAAACACCCGATGCAATTTCAAGAGTCGACGTGTGGATTGCATGGCATACTAGAAAGGATGACACATATATAAATGAAACGGTGGAGGAGACCGTGGTAAGATATATTTTCCTTTTAGTTTAAGTAGCTAATTATTTTTATATGCATTTTATACTTTACAAATATTATTTTTTCAGAAAAAAATGCAAGAGTATAGCAGGACAACTCAGAGTTCAGGATATAGTGATGATGCACTCACCGCTGTAATAGGTCCTCAACATGGAGGAAGAGTGAGAGGGCTTGGGTTTGGGGTAACAATGACATCACTGAATCTCTGGAATGATGGTGCTTCTCAAAAATATGAAAGGACTATTAATGAATTGAAACAACAATATCAAGAAATGAATGAGAAATTCCAAAGACCAGAGGAAAGGCAAGATCAAGTGATGCAACTAATTCAATCTTTGGTAATAAATCTCTATAAATTTGATACGATATCTCTCTAATTATAATACTAATTATGAGAAGCATTATTTACTCTTTTTTTTTTTACATTATTGTGCTTTGGACAGAGTGCTAACAACCAGTCCTCTCCCATTGCTTCACATCAAGTCTCTCCTCCTGAAGATTTGGTCGGCAAGTCTTGTGAGCTATTGCATTTTCATGGGACAAAAACCGTTGTCGCCAAGGGTATGATTGATTCAGTGGATCCAGATTCTCTCATAGGTTCTGCTCCACTTGGTTCTGACTGTTGGAGAGTGTGGATCACTGATCTCATTGATTCTAGTGTGCCTTTATATAGGCCTGAAATTTGTGGCTTTGATTTGAAAGACGCATATGTTATAGGATTTTCAATTGCATGGCCTATCAAGTACATCAAAATTTGTAAGTGACGCATTTCTTTTATGATTACACATTTTTAATGCTTTTTATACTCATGTTCAGGGGGGTCATGTGCCTTTAAGTGACCAATTTTGTGGTGTATAGGGGGTCACGTGCCTTTAAGTGACCAATTTTGTGGTGTATAGGGGGTCACGTGCCTTAAGTGACCATTTTCATATTTAATAGATAAAATTCAGGAGAAAAAACATGAAGATAGCACAAGCGTAGTACAAAAAATTAACTTAATCCCAAATCGTTGTGAAAAGGCTAGTTGACTTATATTTTTCTAGGTACCTCTGTTCAAGTCTCTCCAGTCTTTGTTGTTTCGAAGCCTAGAATAACTTATTTTTGTCATCCCATTATTGTAGGTGTGTGTACTGTGTGTAACTCAGATTTATATAAGCTAGACTTATCAAAGGTAGGTGTGTGTACTGTGTGCAACTCAGATTTATGGAAAGCTTGATAATAAGGAGAGAAGTTTTAAAAGCAGGGACCATTTGGTGGGTAGCTAATGAGAAAAGAGTAACTATTGTCAGGACAATTAGGTTCCATGTTAATGGATTGTTTAAAATCTTCTGCAACTCTACTCCCAAAAAGGTGACTTAATTGATATTTTGATAAACAGAAATTCAGTGTAGTGGAAATTGGTGGTTCAATCCATCAAATCAATTAATTCAAGTGAGCTACTTTGATCAGATAGATAGCTTGAGCACTCAATAAATGTGAGTACTATTGTTTAAAAGATTGATCAGAAATTCTCTTTTTTGCTTGATAATACGACTATGATTCTTTATTTTTTTATTTTGTTGCAAGTGTTTTAAGCTAGCTGCTAATTAATCTTGAAGCTTACCTTCTTCCATTTTCCTTAAATGTATGTCATATCAGTAACAAATGTTTCCTAAAGAGGAGAAAGCATTAAGGAAATGAGGTCACCACAGTTACATGAACATAAAAATATATAATAGAATCTGCTTAGATATATTTTCAATCAAACTCAAATATTTTTTGGATAAAACTTTAAAATCCTAGGATGGTGACCACATAGAGATATATTTCAACAGCCATAACATTTTAGTATAATACATCCTAGCACCTACAGGAGATAATTGCTCGTGTTTGAAAGTGTTTTTAAATATATAGTTATTTTTATAAATAATTTTAATATATTATGTCCCTAGTTTATATCAAAGTTGCCCAGTGAAAGTTTAGTTGGTAGAGGGAGACTAAAAGTATATATATTTTTTTGGCACAAGAACTCATCTAGGGTTCAAGTCACGCAAGAAAGCTGAATTTTCACTCTTCATCAAGACATGATCAAAACGATTCACCGGTCGGATCACATGAGACTCTTGGGTTGCTCAAAAACTTACAAGATCTCGTGTAAGAAGGAAGAATCTAAAGCAAGGTTCTTACAAAATAAAAGTGGGACTAGCATTATAGATTAGTCCAGAATGAAAGAACAAAGGTGATAATAATATAAAATCAGTAGTTAAATGCC